GTCTCTGTTGGCTGTTTTTCTCTCCCTGTGGCTCTTTGTCTGCCTTCCCTTGTCCACGGCTCTCTGCCTCGGTCTCTCTCTGTGCCCCCTCTCCGTTCCTGTCCTTTGTCCCCGGTGGTGGTAGTGTGTGTCCCTCTCCCACATCCATCCTCCCCACACCACTCTCTCTCCTGTCCCTGGGGGTCTCCCACCCGTCACCCCATGCTGAGGGGCCTGAGGAGTACCATAGAGTGTCAGAAGAGCCACCTCCAGGATGCCCCACCCCAGGGCTCTGACAAATGTGACAAATGGGACCAGAGACCCTGGGAGTGAGGGCGGGCCTCACGGGGAGGTGGGGCGCGGGGGAAGACTGAGGGCTTTTGGTGGCATTCGAGCTTATCAGTCAGGTAATCTCGTTAATCTTTCATCTGCAAAATGGAGATCACAGCAAAACGAGTCTCAGCGGTCAATGTGAAGATCAAATTATTTAAATTCTGTAATGCCCTGAGAACACCGCCTGGAACATAGAAGGCGTTCAGTAAAGATTAGCTCTTCTTATTATCATAGGGGGCTCACAAGACATGAGAGCTCCCACATGTTCCCTGAAGTCAGAGGGGGAAAGGATATTTTAGTTGGGATCTTGAGGGTTGAGTAGGAGCTTGCAAAGCTTACAAAGGACCCTCCAGGTTGATGGTACAGCGTGAGTCAATGTCATTTCATAGAGGAAGAGAAAGCCATCCAGGGAGGGGAAATAGGCCTTAGTCATAATTATAAGTCCCAAAGAAGGTATAAGGTCAAAGAAGGTCAAGCCTATAGGTTGTCAACCCTCACTCTGGTCTTGACCCTGAGACTTTAGGACCAAAGTGGGGAATGCGATTACTCCGTCCTTATGTGAACACAATTTTTTGTGTCTCCCTAGTCTCCAGCCAGTTGGCTCTTGTTCCCTGACTGGCACACGGTTAACCCTCCCAAAGGCCACGTCGGGGATGTTTCTGGAAAAGCTGGAGTAGCCAGCCGCTGGCTAGTCTACACAGCCCTTTCTCCAGTTGGAGCATTCTTGGCTATAAGCAGCTCGTAGATGCTGGAAGAAATGAGGAAAATATTCCCCGGATCAGCTGATGGGTATTTACATATTTCTCCAGAACCTAAAGGCGCAGCCACTTGCCAGCCCCCATGGCTCGAAAAGGCTGCACGTTTGCTTGGTCTGCAGGGCTCTCTGGAGGGGGGAGGGAGTTGGTACCTTCCAGTTTTTCTATCCCCCTCACTGTGTCAATGCAGCAAGGAGAGCTCAGGTGATGAGTAATAGTTTTTCCTTCTCCGTGGGGCCTGAGGTCTGTCCCTAAACCCCTCCTTCAGAGAGATCGCATGGAACTGGGAAAAACCCCATGGCCTGGGTTTGAATCCTGGGTTCAAATCCTTCCACTAGGGTGACCAATGCACCCACCTTCTGACGTGGCTCCCAAGGGTCCCCGCCTTCTGGTATTTGGACCCTGGAATATCCTCCCATTGAGTGTGAGCTGCACCCAGAGCCTCACTTTTCAAGAAGAGAATAGTGGCCCAGTGATAAGGTGTCACTCCTGAGCTTCGGCTCCAGGAGGCTATGGCTTCCTTCTTGCCTACTCTGCCCTCTCTCTGGCCTTCTCAGCTTGCACACCTTGACGAAGCAAGCTGCCATGTTGGAGATGCCCACAATGCAAGGAGCTGATGGTGGCCAGGGAAACCTGGCTTTCTGACCTATGGGAACTGTAAGATAAGCAACGTCGCAAGCCGCTCTGCTTTGGGGCAGTTTGTTACACATCATAGATGACTAGTACAGTGACCTTGGGAATGTGAGCTCAGCTCTGCCAGATCCTTATACATCCATCTGTAAGGTGGGCTCAATGAGGCCTGAGGACTCAGTGCAGGATCTAGGGCCCAAGAACTCAAGAAATGAGCCTTTTATGCCTCAGTCAACAGATCTCTCCAGGACCAACCCAGAGCCTGGTGGCAGGTGCTGGGGACAAGGGGAGGGTAGGGGTGGATGGTACAACAGTGGTGCCCGGCCTCATGGGGCTCACAGCTCAGTCCCCACCCCCGCCCCCATGCCACCAACTATCGTTTTGGTCATCAGCCTGATGTTTGTCACACTGGACCCCTTGTGGGCCCCCTGGACATTCCTCCCTGGGGTGCCCTTCCTGTCTTCTCCAGGAGCCAGCTCCAGGATCCTGAGTTTCAAGGTATCACCTGGGTTCAAATGCCCCACCTAGATTTGTCCCCAGGCACCCTCAGGAGCCGCTCACGTTTCTCAGCCTTCCTGGTAACTTCTACCCAAATCAGCATGGGGACGAGGATCAGTGAGTTCATCCGCTCCTAAAAGCAATCTAATGCCAAATCCTGCCACCCTGTGAAGTTGTTGGGGGTACAGTAGGGGCCCCAGTGGAAGTGGGCCCAGCCTCACAGAGCGCATGCATGTCCAGGGGGCATGTGGTGAATTCTTCCAGAAAGCTGTGGATGTTGGAGACAGAAGAGGCCTGTACAGAGGGTACGTGTTGATGCTATTACAGGGAAGGCCCTGGAATGGCCTCAGGGAGCTGCAGGAAGAGGATGGACACACTCAGCCCCGCCTCTGTCCCTCCAGCCCCAGTCACCCCTCATCCCCACGTGGTGTCAGTCTGCAGACAGGCTCTCTGCCAGTGGCGGGCAGGGTGGCTGCCGGAGGTCCCCCCACGGCACCCCCTTCTATTGCTGGATCACAAACCGCCCCCAAACTGAGTGGCCTAAAACAACACTGTTTATTTTGTTCCCAAATCTGCCAACTGGGACGGCTTGTCCCTGCTCCACTTGGCATCTCCTACAGCAGCCCAGGGGCTGGGGATTGGAACTGTTTGAAGCTTCCTTTGCTCCCGCGCCAGAATGCTCAGGCTGGTTCGTGGCTGGGACCTCGGCGGGGACTGGAGCAGCGACCATGATGCCTTGCCCTGGGCCTTGGGGCTTCCTCACAACATGGCGGCCAGGCTCTGAGGATGAGTGCCCCGGGAGAGAGCCAGGTAGCTGCAGTGTTACCCTCTGTAACCTAGCCTTAGAGGTCATGCAGAGTCTTCCAGAACATTCTGTTCACTGTAGCCATCGCAAAAGGCTATCCACACTCAAGGGGAGACTTGGATTCCATCTTTTGCAGAGAGTAAGCAGTATAAAGAATTGGCTGACATGTCGTAAAACCATCGTACGCCCTCTGTTCTGAGGAAGCTGACTGTCCTTGTTCGGGCCCCCTGTGTGTGCCCTGGGTCCGTCCCTGTTTTAGGGGGATGGGATGTTTGGTCATCCAGGCCTGGGTCAGACTTCCTTTCCTGGGGCCTGCGTGCATGTGGGAGAGGCGAGGGGGCCGAGTCGGTGACTGGAGCCCAGCCGCAACCACGTGCAAGGACAGCCTGAGCTTTCTCCAAAGAAGGGGGCAGGCAGGAAGACAAACACAACATATGTCCTCTCCAGATAGTAAACAAATAAACAAACACTCAAGCACATAATTACCCATGGTGATAAATGTTCTGTTGGCAAAGGGCAAGGTGTTTGTAGGAGTGGCTAATGGGCGGCAGGGGATGGAGCCTTGAACTCAGTGATCAGAATGGTCTTCAGAGGAAGCCATTTAAACTGAGGCTCGAAGGACAGAGAGGGAGCCAGCCGGGGGAGGGCACTTTGGGCAAAGAGGTTAGCCTGTGCAAAGGCCCTGTGGTACAAAAGCAGGGCATGCTTAAGGATTTGCAGGGCCATGTGGCTGGAGCAGAGTGAGTGGGATGGGGGTGTGGCAGAGCTGAGGCTCGATCACACGGTGTCTCAAAGGCCATGGTCAAGAGTTTGGATTGGAATCTCTGAGCTGGGAAGCCACTGGTGAGATCTAGCTCAAGTTTATGCACATCACACCCCAAAGGCCTGGCATGGAAGTATTTTACTCATGCTGCATTTTCAGTCGGTTAGTTCCTTTCTCCTTTACCTTTCAGCCCTTCATCCCAACTCTCTTCCAAATTCACTACCAGCTTGGATATGGATCTGACGTCTGCCTCCATCCCCTATTTCACCTCATCTTTCCCGTGACTCCCTCTTACCCCAGTTCCCTGCAGCTGCTCTGCCTACTCCAGCTGGCCAAACGTCACCAGCTTCTGACTGCCTGCCCCAGCTGCCGTAAGTCACCAGGCCACGTCCCACTGAATCTGAGACATGCATGCATGACATCAACAAGTGGCAGCACGAAGGCGACATTTTCTTTGCCCAGCCACTACCCATGCTGCCAGCCCATCCATCGCTCCTTGGGGCACCCAATCCATCCAATTTAAATAAACAAATCCCCCAAACAGGGCCCAGTAATGGAAACGCTGACAGACCCTTATCTACGGCAGTTGGGGTGTGCGCAGGCCTGTAATAATTTGGGCCTCACCGAGGCAGAGGAGTTATTGTAATTGTGCCATGTCTATGACAGTTTAATCAGATCTTGAAAATCAGGGGCATTACATTGTGCACCTGCTCATGGGGACAAAAAGGGAAAAAAAAATGGCTGGTGGAGTTTTCTATCTCGGGCTTTTTTTTTTTTTTTTTCTATACCCAGGCAGGACCTCCCGAGGATATAATTCATTGCATGTGTGTATGGGAGGGTAGTGAGTGGGGGAAGTAGGAGCCAGAATTAGACAGAATGGTGACTACACCAGAGTGAGAGAGGGCCTCCACCAAGGGGCTTCTTTGGTCTACACCACCTGTATCTGGGGAGGAGGTGACATGTCTGGGATATGAAACAGGACACACCTGGGCTCAAGACCAGCAAGCTCTTCCTCCCTTTCTCTCTCTGTCCCTCCTTCTGGGCCTCCATTCTCTCCTTCCCTATCCCTCCTCTCCTCCCTTCCTGCCCCCCTTCCCTCCCTTCCCTTCCCTTCTTTGCCCTCTCTTCCGTCCAAGAATATTTGTTGGCCCCCATACTAGGCACTGGGATTCTGTAATGACCCAAATGTGTCCGAGCTCTGCCTTCAAGGAACAGGCAAGTGTAACCAGGGAGAAAAAGCTAGACCACAACATGTCTTAGTTTTGGGCCCCATGAGAGCAGGACCTGAGGCCCAGACTTCGGGGCCGGATGTTTATTTGGCGGTGATTGCCGGAAGCAGCAGTGAGGGCTCAGAGACAGGGCATCAGGGAAGGAAGACGATCCCAGTGAAGGGGGTGACATCGGTCTGGTTACCACTGTGGGCCACTGGGGTGCAACACCGCTGGGGAGCTTCTGAGGGGCAGTGTGGAATACGTCTCAGCTTTGAGAAAACCCTGACGCAGGAAAGCGGGGAGACACCCACTTACGGGATGTGGCCGCCAGCAAGGTAATGTCCACTCGGATGGGCTGAAATCAGTGGGTCAAGAGGCTGTGGCATGGCGCCCCCTGAAGGGCTCCTACACGTGTCCAGCGGGGGAGCCAGCGCATCTGGGTGGTTAGGGTGGGCTTCCTGGAGGAAGTGACGCATGAGATAAAATCGGAGTGCTGGGAAGCAGTTAAATAGGCAATAGGGTGGCGGTGGAGTGGGGTGAAAAGGGCATTCCAGGAAGGGGTGAACAGCAGATGCAAAGGCCCAGAGGAAGGAGGGAGTGTGGTGCTTTTGAGGACGGACAGAAGCCCCATGGCTGGGAACTGCGGACTCCCCTCAGTACCTGGACCAAGTGACTTCTCGCTCTAGATCCCCGGTCTCCTCACAGCCTCATGGTCAACACTCCCCAGAGCTGTCCTGAGGAGTAAAGACGATCACATCTGTGGTGGCAGCTAGGAGAGCCCTTAACACCGGCGGCCCGCAGAGCTCTTTGCTGCTTCCTTCCTCTTCCTCTTTCCCCGACTTTGGTCTTCAGAGGCCCGTTTCTGCCAGGCCCAAGGTATTTCTGGGCGGAAGGGCTTCGCGCATGTGTTACTGATCCGTGGCAATAGCAGAAGGACAGCTGCGGGCCTTGGCTTTGGGACTGTCCCCTCACTGCAGGAGGGGATGCTGGAGTGCATCCCGGCGCACTGTATAAACTGGTGAGTGCTGTGCGCAGGAGCACAAGCTGGAGACAGCTGTGCCCGACCCAAGACAGCGGACTCCTGACCCTGCAGCCCTCTTCCAAACCAGCTGTTGGGCAAAGGAGACTCTCCAGAGTCTACCCCCCCAACTCCATTATGTCACCCCCACTGAGATCTTGTCTCAAATTCTTCCTTAATTAGGTTTCTCCTTCTGAAATCCAAGAGGGCTCTGCCAGAGAGGCCCTGGGGTTCAGCAGCTTTCATTTTCAAGGGAAAACAGCCCAGGGGTTAGGAGGACTCAGTCATTCACACCTTGGTGTGAACTAGGTTGCAGGGCTGTGAATGTGCTAAATGTTTCAGGCGAGTGGCCAAGCAGCCTGTGAGCTGGGCTACCCCCCTGTGAGTCTGGAAGGCAGAAGGATGCTGGAGGTGAGGGGTGGGGGGACCAGAGACCCGGCTTCTTTTCCCTCTCCTAAACTCCTTCCCCATGTTGTATAACTGGCAAGTTGAACTATGGGCCCCTAAGAACATCTTGGGGTTCCAAATGGGATTTCTGTGGCACCCAGCACCAAAGTACAATACCTGGCGTGTAGCAGACACCAAGTGAACATCAGATGGATGGATGGATGGATGGATGGATGGATGGATGGATGGATGGTTGGATGGTTGGTTGGACGGATGAGAGATTGAAAGAGTCAATGGTTGCAAGAGTAGCTACATGAAGAGCATCACTGATCAGACTTGGTGAGACCTATTTGGGTTGGTGGTTTACATCCCACAACCCAGGGCCAGGCTGTTTGTGTTTGCAGCCTGTTTCCCAGGAGGGTTCCCCAGGCCCAGGTTCTGTAGAATACCTCTGTTTTGCCTCTGAAGTGCCTGAGAGAACCCCCTGTAGATTGTTCTTTGTCCCAGCCGCTGTCTTCAATGGTTGTGAGTGCTATGACAGAGAGGCAGGTCATCAGGCACAGGGGGTGTGACAGGGGCTTCCTGTCCCATTGGACCGTGGGGATGGGAATGGGAGATGTAAAAGGTGGTGGGAAGCCAGGCCTGTTCATGCTTCAGCCATCTGTGGAATCCCCCAGAGAAGTGCTGGGGCTCAAGAGACATTGATTGATTTGGAGAGAAGATGGAGTTCTCTCTCACCAGCAAATCCTTGAAGCATTCATTCATTCACTTAGCAGTTTCTTTGATCTCCCCTCTACCATTACCTCACTCACCTGTTTGTTTTTTCACCTACCCATTGTTTACCCACCTACCCATCCAACTATCCATCCACCCATCCTCCTGACTCTCCACCCACCCATTCATCCACTCACCCATTCATCCATCCATCTATGCATCTATCCATGCATCTATCCATACATCTTTCTGACTTCCCACCCACTCATCCCCACACCTATCTATCTCCTCATCCCCCCACCCATCCATCTACTCATCCCCAACCACTCATCCCCCAACCATCCACCCATTCATCCCTTCACCCATCTCCCTTCTCATTCCCCTATTCATCCCCATCCACTCATCCCTCCACCCATTCCTCCACCCATTCCCCCATCTTCCCCCCACTCATCCACCCACTCATCCATGCATCCATCCATCCCACATATCCATACCCCATTTACCTAACCAATCTATCAAGTAGTTTGTGCCAGGATTTGTTCCACACACTGGGCACACCGAGGTGGCTAAAATAAGGTCGATGCATTCAAGAAGCCCCCAGTCCATGGGGATGATCATGATACAAACAGTTATAATCCAGATAGATCACTGTGAATGGGGCAACACAGGAGGCTGGGTGAGCCCAAGGAAGACATTACCCCCTCTGTTTCCATGGAGCCTTTGCAGATGCTGTTCTCCCTGCCTTCTCCTCCGCTCTTCCTTCTCCTTGTCATCTGGACCGCTCCCACTCATCACTTAAGTCTTAGCCTGGTGCCCCTTCTCTGGAAAGCTGCCCCAACTTCCTTCCTCTTTTCTATGAATTGCAATTTTCCACCTACTTTTGGAGGGCTGGGTTTAGATTTCATTCATTCCTGGCCTGGCCCATAGTGGATGCAGTGTGAATGTTTGAGGAACACATAAATGCAGGGAGGGTGTCTAGGATAACCTCCCCATCTTTTCGGACCCTTCACCTAATCATATTTGCAGATTCCCTTTGCTGTGTAATGTCGTGTATTCACAGGTGTGGGATTAAGGCATGGAAATCTATGGGATGCCCTTATTCTGCCACCCATACCCTCTGAGGAACAGATACCAAGATGGGCTTAGAAAGAGGAGGGAGCCGAGGGAGGAGGCTGGGAGGGCCACCAGGTGGTGAAGTGGGTCTGTCCTCCCGTGCAGGAAGGTGGAAAGGAGGGAGGATTGGGTAGGAAGGGTCTCAGATGGCTGCACAGTTCTAGAGAATTTTCAGCCAGACCAACTGGGACTCCTTGAGCCAAAGTCATTCAACAGAGACTTCCCAAGTCTCTCAGGAATGGTCCTGCCTCAGTGGCCCTGCCAGGATGAATTCTCAATTCGTGGAAAGCATGACTCCAACAAGCATGGGGACACAGCATGGTGCATTCTTTTTTTTTTTTTTTTTTAAGATTTTATTTATTTGTCAGAGAGAGAGAGAGAGAGCACAAGCAGGGGGAAGGGCAGGCAGAGGGAGAAGCAGGTTCCATGCCAAGCAAGGAGCCGGATGCAGGACTCGATCCCAGGACCCTGAGATCATGACCTGAGCCGAAGGCAGATGCTTAACTGACTGAGCTCCTCAGGTGCCCCACAGTATGGTGCATTCTTATGACAAGAAAAGAGGGTTTCAGTGACTTCAGTGTCGGGTTGAAGTCAGGGAAGGGAAGAGGCTGTGGGCCCAGGTGAGGGTGCTGTCTCTGGGCCCTGGGGGTGGAAAACTTCCAAGGTCTGGACCTGAGGGGACACCAAGGGGCCTCAGGAGTTCTTTGAGATTTCTGGGGGAAGCCCCACAGCCCATCACCTACAGAGGCTTTGTTGGGGTATGTGTTCCTTGGCCACTTTGTGGCCATTTGCAAGGGAAAAGGAGCTACTCCCATCTATGGTCTTATAAATGGACCTGAGTTAGGATTTTTCTTTCTCAACCTGAGCCAGATGATATAAGCTAAAGTTAGATTATCTTCTTTATTTACCCCATTTCTCCCTTCCTCTTTTTTACTGCATCATTTCTAGGGGTCTTCCCTAGAAGTGTGAAATCAGGCTGGTGGGGTGTCTGCCTCCAAGGGCACATACCCATGGAGTATTTCCCATTGCGGGCTCTGACCTTGGGCACCAGCGAGACAGCTGTGTGACATCTGTACTTGTGCTTTCTTTTCTGTGATCCTTGCAGACATCACTAATTGATCCCAGAATTCTTTCTACTGAGCTGGACGTGGTCTCAAAAATAGAGTGAGCATATCATGTACGGTGCAAACCAGAACGCTTTCGAGAATGAAAATGTGCACGATTAAGAATGACCGCTGAACAGCAGCCGTAAGCCAAGATAGTCCTGGGAAGACCAGGGTGTTTGGACATCCTGCTTCAAAACCTAGCTCAACCCAGTGTTCCCGGTAGACATTACCAATAGATCACCAAAATTTGCATGTGAGATGAACCTTCTTTGCTTTTCCTGGTCTCCCCGTGTATGACAGAGCACCTGTCCTTTCTTGTATGGGATTCTTCTGGGTCTGGCCAGACATTGGGGCTAATTCCAATCTTTTTCATCCAACTGGATCCTTTTCCTCCCCATCCAGTCCCATCTGAAACATCTACGAAATGGGTACCATAAAAGTTGTATCTCTGAGAGTGAAACACATCTTTTCTATCCAATGGAAGCTGGTAATTTCCTTCAATAAAGAAAAAAATGCTTGACTTGAGCATAAAAGGATGAAAATGAGCATTTATCCAGCTCCTGCTGTATGCCAGGATGGCTTTCATGCTCACTTAATAATGAGTGGTCCTTCTTTATGTTCCCCAAATGCTATGAGGTGGGGAAGTGCTGTGCATTTCCCAGATGGGGAAGGAGGCTCAGAGAAGTTAGTTGAGTTTATACAGCTGGAGTGGCAGGGCTGGGACGTGAAGCCTGGTCTGGCTGGGTCTGGAGACCACATTCTTTCCATTTCTCCCCCTGTTCCAAGCTGCTCAGCCTGGGGCTCCCCCAAATACCACTGAGTCTCTGAATGAGGTGCGCTATAAATACTGTGGATAAATAGAGTGTTGTCATGGGTCTGGGGACTGGAGCAGTGTTTCGCAGCCTCCTGATTCCATAATAAGCACAACACACCTCCTCTATCTTGAGAGCTCTTCTCAGCCCTGCACAACCAGGGTTTCTGCACCAGTGATTACCCTGATCGTTCTTTTGCAGATGAGGACACCGAGGCTCGGGGAGGGGAGGCCACACAGCAAGGAGGAGGTGAAGGCAGGATCTGAACCTACTCCCCGGCTTCCCCTGTGCTCTTGCCAGACAACCTCGGTGAGGACACCCTGTTCCCTGGGGCCATAAAGAACAGTGCCCACCTGGTCCCTAATTCTTCCCTTACTGAGATCCAGGAGGGCTGCGGTGGGAGGCAGCTGGGAAGGGATGTGCTGAGACTGCAGAGTGCCATCGCTCGGGCTCCCCGATGCTAATAACCCTGCAGGCACGTGGAACAGGCTCAGAAGATGGCTGGCATCTCTGGCCCCCCCACCACGCCCAGCCTTGTCTCCGACCTCCCTCGGGGAATGGGGCCCTTGCCAGGGGGCTGCCTCTGGCTCCTCAGCCATATCCGGAGAAAGCACGCCAATGCCGGGGCACCCTGTCTTCGGCCAGCCCCTTCTCCGCATTGTCCATCGAGGAAACTGAGTCCCGGCTAAACGGGCAGGGCCTTACCCGAGTGCAAACATCAGCTCAGAGGCACCTTCCTGATCCAGATTTTACATGATCCCATTTTACAGATGGGAAAGCCGAGGCTCAGTCCCGTAAGTATTTACTCGAGGGTTCAAGATTGCAAGCGGTGGGGTCGGGATTCGAACCCAGGCCCAACTGAGAGCGGGCGGGATGGAGGCTTTGGTACTTTCATTTTCCACCCTATGCTGTCTCTCTCCCACTGACCTCCTTGACCTTGAACTCTGTGTTCCAAGAGGAGCTCAGAGCCTGCACAGCAGGGTGAGTGTTTCTAGATAAAGCAGTAATACCGGCAGTGACCCTTTGCTGAGCACTTACCTGTGCCAGGTAATCAGCAGCAGCATCTGATCTGAATTGTCCCCAAGCTGCAGATAAGAGAATGGAGGTGAGCCCTGTCCTGCCAAGGCCACATCTCAGAGGAGAACAGGGTCAGACCACCCAGCGTCCCAGAGAAGCACATGCTTTTTCCTGCGTTCATTTACGTTTTCTTCCTTTTTGTGTGTGGGCAGACCCTGGCTTGGGCGTCCTGGGGGAGACCAGACAGAGGAGGTCTGAAGGGGCTTCTCTCCCCAAGGCCCATCTATGGTTCTAGAAGCAGGCAGCCCAGATGTTTGGTGTCCATGGAGCAGGCTCCAGCTGTGGCCCTGGACACTGAGGATCTCTTTGGCTGACCCCATGGGGCTGAGAGGGGCACTCTTACAGCAGGGTTCAGTTCAAGGTCGAGTGTGGGCTGGGGAATCACTCGTGTAGGGGTGAAGGTTTGCGGGAACCTTCTGGATCCATCCTCCTGGGTTGGAGGAGATCTCACCAACCCCAGCTCTCCAGTCCCCTGACACCCATGCATGTTGGGGTCATCCTGGGGCTGATTTCCTTAGGACAAATAGGAGGCTCCATCTGGCTGGCTGTGTGATCAGGGGAGGTCGCTCACCCTCTCTGGGTGATCTCAACTGCCTGATCAGTCAGGAGGGGTCAGACAGGCTGGATCATCTGTCTCCCACAGCTCATCTGGCCCTGAAAGGCCTGGAAACCAGCCCGGAAAGAGAAACCAGTCCCTACCTCAGCCTCTCCCAGTCCTTCCCAGACTGCAGACCTGGAGCAAGGTATTTCCCCTCTTTGTGCCTTAGTGTCTGTACCTGTAAAATGGATTTACGTCCAGTGCCCCCGTCGTGGGTTATGCAAAGCTTTTGGCAGGGACCTTGGCCCGTGGTCCACACTGACAACATGGAAATGCCACATCATAGGCAACCTGCCTACTGAGGGTCTTTGGCTGGGCAGCCAGGCAGGAGGCCAAGTCCCCGCAGTGCTGGTTTCCAGCAGATGGCCTCAGTTTCCAGCTCTGCGGAGTGGGGCCAGAATAACTCACGGATTCTGTGAGGAAGTGGAAATATGGCAGAATAGCAGTTTACGTTTATAGAACACCTTCCTCTTTCTCCCCCCTTCTTCCCCTCCTTCCTCTTCTCTTGCTCCTTCTTCTCCCTTCACCTCCCCCTCCCCTGCCCCCTTTCACTGTCCCCATCTCCCCCTCCCTAGTAGTGCCCAGACACCTGGGGAAGAGGAAGGAGATGACTTCAGCACTTTCTTGGTCCTAAGGGTGGGCTGCACAATGCAGAGGGCTTCTGAGAAGAGCTGCCTGAGTTACCCCTGCCCCCACAAGCTCCTCTGACCCCTTCCCACTCCAAGCACCCACTTTCTAACAGACAGAGATGCCCCTCACCAAGGGTTGGTGACTCACCTGTCACCACAGGCTTCACCATGAGGAACCAAGGAGGTCCGGGGTCACACCTGGGGCCTGTCCTTTGACCTGTCTGGGCCTCTGTTTTCCCACCTGAGAAATGAGGATAGTGAAATTTGCCTTGGCCGGGGGTGGGGAGGGCTGTTGTCACGTGTGACTGAGATCGAGTTGGGTGTAAGGGGGCCCCCCAGGGATCCCGGGCCTGTAGGGGGGACCCTGAGATTCAGTTGGCACAGGGGCTTATCAGAGGTGGGGGGCAGTGTTGAGGGTGATGTTTCAGGGGCTGGGGGGTGGGGAGCCACAGGGTGACAACATTTTCATCTCGAAAGCTTTTTCCAGCCTGAAGCCCCTAGTTATTTATTTAGACTCTTCTATTGAGGCAAACTTAATCTCCCGAAGCCATATGCAACCCTTGGCAGCCCCAAAGACCGGAGGGCAGGCACGGCCGTGACCCAGCCCTGGGGGGCCAAGGGCGTCTGAGCCGCCTGGCTCTTTTCTCCCAAAGGAGAGAGGGTGGGTGGCCTCCGTTGTTTCTCTTGTGATTCTCGGACAGTGAAGGCATTGGCCGGCCCTCCGAACCGGGGGGCCACTTGTTCAACGTCCGAGTTCAACGTCCGAGTTCCCAGGAGTCTCCCGGGCACCGAGTTGAAATTCAGATTCTGAGTCAGCAGGCCTGGCTCTGGTGATTTGCAGGACCCAGTGCAAGATGACAACGCGGGGCCCCGTGTTCAAAAACAGTTCAGAAGAATCTCAAGACATCGGCAGGAGAGCATTGAACCAAGCGTGGCGCCCTTCTGGGCTCGGGGCCCCGCGGGGCTGCCCGGGTCCTGCGCCCATGAAGCTGGCTTGAGGCTCTGCATTTCTAATAAACTCTAGGTGGGGCTGATGGTGGTGGCCCTGGGCCACACTTTGAAGAGGTGGGTTTGGGGTTTCAGTGGCAACCGTGGGAAGCATTAAATGCTCCGCCGGTGTTAGGAGACACGGCTCAGTGTCCTCTGCCCTGTGAACTTGGACAACCACCTTGTTGGCCTCTCTGGGCCTCGGGCTCCCCAGCTGGAAGGTGAGGGGGCGGGTCAGACCAGATGGCCTCTTAGACACCTCTCCGCTGGCACCCTGTCCCCCCACTGAGCCCACCCCCGACCCCCGCTGCCGTGAAGCCCCCAACTTGTGGCCTCCAAACCCCTGGCCAGGATCAAATTGCCAAAGTGGCCTCGTCCACCCAGCCCGGCTGGAAGTGATTTTTAAACAAAGCCCACATTCCTTCTGAGCCTGTCGATTTCGCCCGTTCCCAAGCCCACCGCCCCGCCTGCAATTTCCTTGCCAAGCTGACTCCTCTGGATAAACAAATGGCGAAACCCGGCAAGCAAATAAATAAGCAAATCCCCATCACACTCCACCACGTCCCACCTCGCTCGGGCGTCTTTTCAGAACAAGTGTCCTGGTGACAATGTCGAGACATCAGGGGCCCTGCCGGGGAGGAGAGGGGGTACTGGGAGGGGAGTTGAGAAGGACAATTGGAATAAAATGGAGGTCAGACCCCCAAGAAGGGCTGTCGGACTTTAATCCCATAATGGAAATCGGGGAGGATTTTGCCTTCGAAGGTTCCCAGTGGACTTTTGTCGTGAAGACAACAAGTGCTGTACATGGATAAAGTGGCTTTAAGAACTATCAGAAAGTGGGTGTGCTGGGAATGGGGAGGAGGGGATGCCCAGGATGGGAAAATTAAAATTCTGCTCCTGCTGAACGTTTCTGGGCTCCAGCTCACCGCGCGAGCATCGATCTGTTCCAGCATTTGACTTTCAACCATGACAAAACTGTGGGCAAATTAATTGTTCTCCAGGATATTAAGCATCAGACTCCATTAATCCTTTCTGAGCGAGATGCTCGCTGAATACTAATTGGGAGGGTTCTGGGCTGCCATGGGGTGGTTTTTCCTGCCCACGGAGACCCCACTGGGTCCCTGCCTTTCTCTGTCTCCCCTGGGTGTGGGTGCTCAGGGCTGAGCCACCCTTCCCCCCCCACCTTTGTGCTACCTTTATGGCCGAGGACAGAGAAGGGACAGGTGGGCCCAACCTGAACCTCCCCTCCCCCGCCTGGGCATCTTCTTCCAGGGAAGCCATGGGACTGGTAGCAAGATTGTTTTATGCAAATTCCAGTATCTGTATGCAGGCACGGCCGTGAGGATGAACGCAAGAAATAATTACCAAATTATGCACGTTGAGTTGGTTTTCCTGCATCCTGACCCCTTAAAAGGAAAAGCAAAAACAGCGACGAGAGTGGATCAAACAGACAAACGACCTGATGGCTTTGGTCACCTGGGGGGAGGCCAGAGAGCGCTGCTTTGGCTGGGGGTCTCAGTGCAGAGTTTTGACAGGGGTAGAAGAGGAGGGTCCTGGGCAGGAATCAAAGCTTCTGGGCTTCAGGCTGCCAGCAGACTGCCAGGTGTCCTTGAGCAAGTCATTTCTCTTCTTGGAGCCTCAGGTTCCCCAACCACAGAAGGGGATCTGGAAAGAGGGCTAATAATGCTGTGTCTTAAAACGTGGCTGGAGGTGTGGTCGGGGAGCCCACTGAACCGTAGGTAGGACTGATCGTGATCAGATGCGCACAGCAGGGCTCTGAGGGGACAGGGAGGACCTCTGGGGGCATCCCCTTGCTTTGCAGATTCTGTCCCATCGTTGAGGGCAACAGCCCTCTTATTTCCATAGGGTTTTGGGGCCATCAGCTCATCTCTGGATGGCCTGAAATTATCATCCCATTTCACAGATTGTCGCTCAGAGCAGGAGAGGCACCAAGCCAAAATCATGTCCTGCGGGAGACAGTAGGAGGACTAGATGGCGTATGTGTACCCTCTTCCTGGGACATTTCTACCCCTTCCCCACCCTGAGCTACTTCTCCCTGGTTACCTCTCCCATGTGGACAGCTCAGTGCTGCACGGAGCAGGATGAAGATCTCCCTTCCTTTGGTCTAAGCTCCGCCTGGAGCATCCTGAACACAGAGAACCCACTGGCATCAGACCCCAGTTTAGAGCATTTCCAGATCTTAACATGAAAGGAGGCTAGAATCACCTTCACCACCGTGGCCACCATCATCCCCAAATACCACGAAGCACTGTATACTTTCCAGGCATCAGCCTTCCATGTGGGCCTCTCACAACGGCTCCCTAATTTGGGTTCCATCATCTTCACTGTTTTCCAGATAAGACAGTTGAGGCTCACAAGATGTCCATCGACAGATGAATGGATAAAGAAGATGTGGTATATATATACAATGGAATATTATGCAGCCATCAAAAGGAATGAGATCTTGCCATTTGCAACGACGTGGATGGAACTGGAGGGTGTTAGGCTGAGCGAAATAAGTCAAACAGAGAAAGACGTGTATCATATGACCTCACTGATATGAGGAATTCTTGATCTCAGGAAACAAACTGAGGGTTGCTGGAGTGGGGGGTGGGGTGGGAGGGATGGGGTGACTGGGTGATGGACACTGGGGAGGGTATGTGCTCTGGTAAGCACTGTGAATTGTGCAAGACTGTTGAATCTCAGATCTGTACCTCTGAAACAAATAATGCAATATATGTTAAGAAAGAAAAAAAAGAAGAAGAAGAAGAAGAATGTAGCAGGAGGGGAAGAATGAAGGGGGGGAAATCGGAGGGGGAGACGAACCATGAGAGACGATGGACTCTGAAAAACAAACAGGGTTCTAGAGGGGAGGGGGGTGGGAGGATGGGTTAGCCTGGTGGTGGGTATTGAGGAGGGCACATTCTGCATGGAGCACTGGGTGTTATGCACAAACAATGAATCATGGAACACTTCATCTAAAACTAATGATGTAATGTATGGGGATTAACATAAGAATAAAAAATTAAAAAAAAAAAAGACAGTTGAGGCTCAGAGATACCAAGCCAATTGTCCAAGGCCACACAGCAAGTCAGAACCAGGGCTGGGATTCACATCTGCACGACCTCATAGCCTTCCATCTATACTATTATATATGTAGCTTACCTTCAGTTCCCCATCCCCCGCCCAGTCCTGAGGGGTGGGGGAGGTTTTCCTCACCCTCTGCAGCAGCCCCTGTACCCCCTGCTGGATCCACGACTCCCCGTTTCCCCCCAAGATGCCTTCTCAGACCACCGTGGGCAGAGAGAGGATCATGCCAGCCACTTGCTAACTCAGCGAATATTTATGCCTGTGCAAACATGCCTTCTGCATGATTTGGAGCTCAATGCAGTGTTACTTAATTAATGCACATGTAACACTTGAGCATATTACACCTATTAGAACTCACAGACAGTTAACACTCTGGGCCTCTGCTGCCACCATGTCCCGCAGACAAAGGCTCCAGGATCACCCCTGTGTTGAATCCATTGTCCAGGGAAACGCCTCTCTCCACGGTGTTCTGTCCACCTGTCTCTTTCCCTTGAGGCTCCTTCCTTCCTTCCTTCCTTCCTTCCTTCCTTCCTTCCTTCCTTCCTTCCTTCCTTCCTTCCTTCCTTCTTCCCTCCCCTCCTTCCTTATTTATATTTTACTTATTTTATTTTCTCCAGCCTTACTGAGATATAACATCGTGTAAGATTATGTACAACACAATAGTTTCATGTATGTCTAGATTGCAAAATGATTGCCATGATAAGCTTAGTTAACACATCCATCACCTCACCTAGTTATAATTTTGTTTCTTGTGCTCTCTTTCCCATTTGATTTTTGACTGTTCTCTATCTAATCTCCCAGCTTGGGTAATCTGGAGTCACGACATAGTCAAACTTATTACGTATAAAACGTAATGTTACATATTAAAAATTTCTGTTTTGGAGGTGTCTTGTACATAAAAGTTTTTAAGTGACATGCTCCAGGGGCTAGTGGGTCATCAAATGTTTTTAATTTCTTACCTCCCCAAATCTCCAGGGACTGATTTTCTTTCTTGTTTGACTATTTATAAGAGAAGGGGGAAAAGTCACTTCTTCTAGGGAGCACGCCCGGATTGCTCCAGCCCTTTTGGATACTCTTCTTCACTGACATCCTCTAGCATTTAAGATATTACAAGCCCTACAAGGGCGGGGACCCCACTTGTCCCTATCCTCTGGGGTGTCCCAGTGGGCCTCAGGTCTCAGAGCTGTGAAATGAGGTCCAGAAAACTTTTTCCACGTGCTCTTTGGGGCTACAGGCAGGATGGAGCAAGATATGGGTGTTGTGCAAGTCTGCAGCTGAGTTTAATGCAGCATCTTTGTGCATTCATCTTTCCATCCGTCAAATGGGCATGCCAATACCTTCCTCGAAAGCTTGGCCCGAGTGTTGAAGGACCTGTCATCACATGTAAACAGCCCCACCTGGTGCCAAGTACTGGGGTAAATGACCCAGGACCAGGAATATTACACAAACCAGGCATCCCCTACCCATTGCAAAAACATTTATTGAACACCTACTTTGTGCAAGGGCTATACTGGGCATTAAGATAGACATGACCCCCTGCTTCAGGAGCCTTCCAGCCCAGTGGGGGGTGATGAGCAATAAAGGCACAAACAATGACGTGGATAATCCTGGCTCATGATATATACCAGGAAAGAAGTAATTGGATGACAAAATGGTGATGGGTAAGGTTTCTTTCTTGGGATGGTCCAGGGAGGGCTTCCTGAAGGAGGCGTCCTTTGAGTAGGTGACAAGGAGGATAAGCAGCCTCATGGGGTTGGTGCCTGCCCATATGCCCCTCGCAAGATGGCCTGATGGCTTCTGGCACGTGTTTGGTCTGAATGTGGGGCAGGGGAGAAGTGCTGGGGAATTAGAGCCCCTCCCCTGGGGGGGAGTTCTTATCCAATGACAGATGTGTGCTGGGGTATAACTCCTCCGCCTCCCTTGCCTGTTGGGTGCATGACCCTGAGATGCACGTTCTCCATGGTGTCCCAGAGATCCTGGCACATCTGAGCCTCAGGGGCCCCCAATGGAACCTGCTCACTTGTGCAGCCTGAGTTGGCCGCTATCCCCTTCCGGCTGCATTTCTTTAGTCCCCCTGGGGATGCTCCCTGGGATCTGCTCCCAGATAAACCGGCCTCGGAGTGCTTATCCAAGGTCTGCTGCTGACATCTCCCAAGCAAAGACACCTCGGTGGGTGGGGTCAAGGGGTGCAGGTCACTCTGGGCCCCCAGCTTGGGGTATCCCTCCTTGGTCCCAGGGGTGGGGAGGGCTCCTCCCCAGGCCAGGGAGCAGAGGATTAGCGCTGTTCCTAGAGCTGCCCGGTAGATCCCTCCCCAGACGCTGTTTCCAAAAAGGATTGAATAAATACATCGTCCAGCGGGAGGGGGAGCCCTGGCTTTCACTGCCCGCTGGTGGGAAATTAAATAATGTTCATTTCTGCCGCTGTGAGCCGGAACAAGGCTGGCCGAGCTGCAGGCCGGGCCGGGAGGCGGCTGCGATTGGCAGCTCGTGGCAAGCCCTAAATCAGAGCAGCCGATGAAATTTCTAATAGCAGGAGCGCGACTGGCATCGGCGTATAAATAAAGTTCCCCTCTTGAAAGGCAGCTTATTCCAGTCTGGCCGCCAAGGATATTAAGCCCGGAGGACTGGCGGCTGCGGCCAGGCTGGACCCCGGCCAGAAGCCAGCTGGGTCCCGGAGGCGTGAGTCCTTCCTCAGCAGAGGCCCCAGCTGCCCCCTGAGAATGGTCCTCTGGGTTGAGTTGCTAGGTGTGCCCAGCTCCGAGCTATCTGGGTGCGTGTCTGCAACGTGAGGGCGTTAATTTGCAGGGCAGATTTCCTTATTCCCACTGCCCAGATGAGCAGACCGAGGCTCAGAGGGGTGAGGTGTCCCGCCCAAGGTCAGACAGCCGGTGAATGGCCCCTTGTGTGGGTAGGGTGGGAGAAAGGGGGGAATTGGAGCCAGGTGTAACCACAAGTCCTCAAAGCTATAAAACGGGCCCAAACCACCCCATGGAGCATCTGGAGCTACTTCCCAGGCTGCTCCTTGCAGAGATGAGCCAGCCCTGGCCCCTGCTCCCGGGCACCCACAGGCCAGTGAAGGTGGGGGGGAAACAGGTCTGCCCTCATGATCTCTTCGTGTTGGCTCCAGTCTAGCTGAGTGATTGAGTCCATGGATTCTGAAACCAGACTGCCTGGGACCGAATCACATAGCTACCACAGTGGCTGTGTGGCCTTGGACAAGTTAACTAACCTCTCTGGGCTTCGGCTTCCTCCTCTGCAAAATAGGGTTCGTAACAGCACCTGCCTCCTAGGGTTAATGTGAGAATCAAAAGAGGGAATTCATGTAGAGGGCTTGGCATAGACCTGGCATGGGTGCCTTGTGAGCATGTACTTTAATCTCTCCGCCCATGCATCTCCCGCAGGGCCCGCGGGTGAGGGGAAGGACTGTGGAGGAGGGAGAACTGCGTGCGCAATGGCTGTGAAGCGGCGGGGGAGGGGGAACCCGCAGGGGTCTGTCTTGGGATCAGCCCCTCCTCTGCAGGCCAGGTTCCAGAGCAGATCAGGAACTTCGGAAGATTTGAGAGGTCTCGGGGCCCACCTGCCCATTTTGCAGACGGGCAAGCAGAGACCCAAGGTCACCTGGCACAAAGACAAGAGTGGGAGCCAGATGGATCCTGGGTTTGCCGCCACTGGGCCTGAGTCTCTCCTCAGAGGATGATGAGCTCACTCCAGCCCAGAAATGGTCTCAGCCCAGAGAATTCTCTCAGCTGCCCCAGGAGCGAGGCCCCGGGTCCCTTTAACAGAGGACAAAGCTGGGACTGGGTGGGTCTATGGCAGCTGTCCATGGAGGTGTTGGGATTCGGACCAGGAGCCAGATGCTGGAATCTGGGTTCATGCCCCCGGCCTCTCCCACCTGCGGCAGAGTGGGGGGGTGGCGGTGGGAGGGGGTGCTGAAGGCATGGCCGGCCGGAGCGGCTCCTTCAGGCAGGGGGTTCCCCTCTGTCCTTCTGGGGCCTGGGACAGATGCCCTGGTCCCTCTCCCCCTCTCTTTCTTCCTGCCCCATTGTCTCTGGATTCTGGTTCCATTTCAGAGTCTGACTTCACACAGCCTGGCCCTTTTGTGCAAACTGCAAAGCCCTTTTCTTTGTGATTATAATTTTTTTTTTTTTGAATCCAAAATCTCTTGACAGGAAAATCGGTGCTTGAGGTTGGAGAAGTTTGTTTCCTCCTCCATGCGAAAGCCATTACCGGGCTGTCCGGGAGGGAGCCCACGCATGTGTGCGCCCAGACGGTCCAACTCCCTTCCCTGCACCCTGGAAAAGTGTGTCCAGCTGTCAGCCTGGAGCCGGCCCGGCCGGAGGTAATGCAAACCAGGCTGCGCGGGAAGCACATTCTTTAATCAGGGCTCATGTCCGCCCAGCCCCAAGCCGCCTTCCATCAAGCTGCTCTTTCCTTTGGGGTGGGGGCTCCTTCACAGCTACAGATGTACTGTCTGGTGGGGAGGGGGCTTCCTGGCTGCTCCAGGCCCC